GCAGGGAGACAGCCCACAGAATGGGAAAAAATATTTGTCAACTGTATATCTGACAAAGGCTTAACATCCAGGATCTTCAAGGAACTCAAATATGCTGAAAGGAAGAAAACTACCCCATTAAAAAGTGGGCAAAAGACATAGACACTTCTCCAAAGAAGATATACAGGCATCCAATAGACACATGAAAAAGTGCTCAACCTTAATCATCAGAGAAATGCAAATCAAAACCACAATGAGATACCACCTAACCCCAATAAGAATGGTCATCATTAATAAAAAACAAATGCTGGTGAGGATGCAGAAAAAAGGGAATGCTTCTACACTGCTGGTGGGAATGCAAACTAGTTCAACCTCTATGGAAAACAGCATGGCAATTTCTAAAATAATTAGAAATTGACCTTCCATATGACCCAGCAATCCCCCTACTGGGAATATACCCAGAGGAACTCAAATCATTCTACAAACAAGATAGCTGCACACCCATGTTTCTTGCAGTACTATTCACAATAGCAAAAACATGGAACCAACTGTGCTGGGTGTGAGTCAAATCTGGCTCTCTGCTGTCTGGATGTGCAGTTCCATTAAACTAGCTAATAGAGGCACTATTTTACACAATTCTTTGGTCCCGAAGGGCAAACTCACTCTGCCAGACAAAGAGGCTTGAGTTCAAAGCTAAGTTACGAAGGGAACGCTGTGTCTTAATCTTATTATCTTCCCTCTGAGTTTATATTTGGAGGCTTTGAATAGTTTATGAATTGAAAATAGTTTATGGCTGGGCTTGGTAACTGAGCCTGTAATCCCACGCCTTGGGAGGCTGAGGTGAGCAGATTGCCTGAGCCCATGGGTTCGAGATCCGCCTGGGCAACTTGTTGAGACCTCATCTCTACAATAAATAAAAGAATTAGCCGGGTGTGGTAGCACGCGCCTGTAGTTCCAGCTACTTGGAAGGTTGAGGCAGAACGATCACCGGAGCCCAGCAGGTTGAGGCTGCGGTGGCCGGGAGCAAGCCACTGCACTCCAGTCTGGGTGACAGAGTGAGACTCCAACTCAGAAAAAAAAAAAACAAACAAACAAAAAAAGAAAATACTTTATGAATCGAAACTGGACTAGATTTAAAAAATGTGGTACATATACATGATGGAATATTACACAGCCACAAAGAAGGACAAACATATGGACTTAGCTGCAACTTGGATGAATTTAGAGTCTATAATACTCAGTGATCGATCACAGAAACAAACAACAGTGTACCACATGTTCTCATTCATAAGCGGACCTTGAACATTTACCATAATACTGTAAGAAAGGAATTGGCAGTATAGAGGGATACTGCCAGGGTCGGGTAGGGGGACAGTAAGGGTACCTGATCTCAAGCCAGGCAAAGTGGGGACCAAAGGAAGGCCCAAACTTTACTTGCACGATGACCACTTGTCATCGATGACCACTTGTAAACCTGAATACTCACTTCTAATCCTGAGCTGTACCTCACATCTTTAAAATAAAATTAAAAAAAACAAAAAACCCAAGTACCTACTTCTCCCACCCTCAAAAAATTCTATGTACCATCAGTGACACATACACCTCCCTTTGGCTCACCAGGGGCAATCCAAGCAGAGGCATAGGAAGGGTTATTGCAATAAGTGAAAACCCAAGAGTTTTGAGTATTCTTCAGGTGAGTGAGCTTGCAAAGGTATACTGGGCATGTACTAAGATATCTTCAGCACCAGGTTGGATACTGTGGGGCCATGGTTTCTGTTTTTAATTATCAAACTTATTACATAGGTAGAACAACTCAGACATGAAGCTGCAGAAAAGGCACAGTGGTATATAATCAATGAAGGCAATGAGTGCTATAGGAGTTCAGAATAGGTGGTTAATAGGGTTGCGGGGAGCAGAAAAACTGAGGAAGACTTCCTGAAGAAGGTCAATTGACTCAAAGTACTTGTACTTGCTCATTAATTTAGTGAAAACCTGGCTCAGCCTGTAATCCCAGCACTTTGGGAGGCCAAGGCGAGCAGAATGCCTGAGACCGTGAGTTCGAGACTAGCCTGGGCAACTTGTCTCTACAATAAATAAAAAATTAGCTGGGCATGGTAGTGCACACCTGCAGTTCCAGCTACTCGGAAGGCTGAGGTGGAAGGATCACCGGAGCCCAGCAGGTCTGGGCGGCAGAGTGAGACTCCAACTCAAAAAAAAAAAAAAAATTTAGTGGAAACCACAAGACAGTTCCCATGGGATACACTAGAAGAATATAAGGTATTGTCTATGTGCTCAAAAAATGGACAATCTGTTGAAAAGACCAAGCCAACATAAACAAAGAAGAAAAAGGAAGATAGAACAACAGCTTAAGGGTCTCCAAACTTTTTGGTTACCTATTTTTTTATTAAAAACTTTCTGAGCCCACAGCTCCCACATATATATTTAGATTGATTTATAAATGTATTAATTTATATATTGTATACATGTACTAACAAGTTCCTTATAAACATATACAAAATAGACATTAGTATGGGATGAAATAAAAAAATATAGAAATAACAGTTATTTTATTTCCACTCCTCAGAAGGCTGCTTAAGGACCTCATGGAATACATATGCTCTAGTTTGGCAAGAATGAAAAAGGAGAAAATGTCTGGAGAAGCTGGGTTTGGAAGGTCAGAAGGGTAGAGAGAAGCTTCACAAGTAAGATGGCCTTAAAAATCAGGAGGCTTCAGGAATTCCAAGAATGAGAAGGCACTGTACATTAGGAGTGTTTCTTTAGTGGCACTTGTCTCAATTGTAATTTTATATTTCTTTCCATGTAAATCTCAAATGTCTTTGAGGGCACCTTTCTTAGCTTTGCTCATTTTTATATCCTCAATGCCTAGTCCGGTGTTTGGCACATGGTGGGTACTCAAATATTTGTTGAATGAGGAATGAGAACAAAAAGTTGCTGAGTGCTTACAGGAGCTGTGACAGCAATGGGCCAGCAGGGAAGGGGAGGTGCTCTTATAGAAAAATGACTCTGAGCTGGGTTCGGTGGCTCAGCCTGTAATCCTGCGCCTTTGGGTGCCTGAGCCCGCGGGTTCAAGACCCGCCTGGGCAGCGAGACCTCATCTCTACAATAAATAAAAAAAATCAGCCGGGCGTGGTGGCGCATGCCTGTAATTCCGGCTACTCGGAAGCCTGAGGCGGAAGGATCGCCGGAGCCCAGCAGGCCGAGGCTGCGGTGGCCAGGAGCGGCCACTGCACTCCAGTCTGGGTGACAGAGTGAGACTCCAACTCAAAAAAAAAAAAAAAAAAAGAAAAATGACTCTGATTTGAAACATTATGCTGTGGCGAGGTCCTTTAGGCAGAGGCCAAGGCTGGGTATTCAAAAGTGACAGCTGAAGCCACAAGGTGGTTACATGCTGCACAAGACTCGGTCCAGAGGGCTGAACTTCAGCTGGTAGGAGGGTGTGTGGAAATAAAAGGGCATAAAAAAGACAGAGGTCAGAGAGGGAAAGGCAGTGAGAGTAGACTATTAGGAAGTTTCATGAGTGGAACAGCAACAGCACTGAACCCATTTGATCAGCAAGAAAGAGGGTGAAGAAAAGTCCAGCGTGAAAGCATCTTTTATGCTTAGTGCCAGGTGGTCTTCCTTAGGAGCTAACAGCTAATGCTTTATGGTTTGTGGGTGTGGGTCAAATCTGGCTCTCTGCTGTCTGGGTGTGCAGATCCATTAAACTAGCTAATGGAGACACAATTTTAAACAATTCTTTGGTCCCAAAGGGCAACCTCACTCTGCCAGCCAAAGAGGCTTGAGTTCAAAGCTAAGTTATGAAGGGAAACCTGTGTCTTAATCTTATTATCTTCCCTCTGAATGAGTTTATATTTGGAGGCTCTGAATAGCTTATGAATTGAAAAAAGCACTTCCCTGTGCACCTCCTGTGGGAGTGGCCAGCAGCGGGCACAGTATATGAGGAGCAGCTCCTCCTCTAAAACCTGTCATTGGCCTGACTCATGTCACCTAGTTCATGGGGTCTTCTGAGGATGCTGAGCCATTTACCTGCTTGCCTGAGACCTGGAACAAGTAAAGAAGGAAACACATGCTAGGCTCCACTTCCAGGGGTTGAGCAAGCTAGCCACACTCTGGCCCCTTCCTGCCCCACACTCTGCCACTGTGACTGTGCTGCTGAATCCTCTCAATTTAGGATAATAAGAAATGAAGAAAGAACATTGCAGGAAACCATTCTCCTCCATGCAATCTCCAACTGGGGCCTACTTACATTTTTGTTTTTCTGGAACAGCGTTCTGGCTTCATTTAGTATGTACTGTTTTTCTTTGATGGTGTCTTCCATCTGCCCTGATACGGCCTGCCATTTCCTCGCAAGCCTGAAAATGCTGCGGTAGAGGCCAAGAACTTCTTGTCGTGTTGCTATTGTCATCTTCAGACCCACCAAAATAGAAGAGGAAATTTTGCATAAAATTGCAATTTGACAGTATGCAGCTAGGCAGATGTACATTTTTAAAAAATCAAGATCTTTAATTAGTCTAGAAATAACTGCTCTTTCGCAACAGATCTGTTGGGTGGCATTGCCTGAATGGTGTAGTAGAAATACTAACTTTTTCTCAATAGCTTTGAACATCATCCTACGGTTGAGGGTTGCTCATGAAAGCCACGTTTATGAGCATGGCAAAACCAAAATTCACATTTACTGTTCTTTAAACCAGTCCCGTAAAATTATATCACTAACCTGAATGGCTAGGAAAAGGCACATAGTGGATAACGTAATTTTCTATTTAAGTGAGAACTGGAATTTAATGTACTAGTTACAAACTCAAGTACCTCTGGGGCCTGGCAGGTAAAATGAATGAGGAAGCCTGGCTGGATGGAGACAGTGGCCAACTAGACAGGACATACCCCTTGAAAGGGAACTCAGTTCCAGTCAGCTGCTGCCATGTAGAAATGAGGGCCTAAGATGACAGATTTCCTGATAGCTTAAAAATTGGTGGCAATTCAGATTTTTAAAGTATGAAATCTCATTGAGAATTAAAAAAATGAGTTCTTTAAAAAATGAAATCTCAAAAAAAGACACTAAGTCGCTATTTTTGAAAATGTGAATACCATCCAGGTCACACCAAATGAGTCCATAGGCTCAGTTCTACCCAGAGGCTGTCAGGTTGGAACCTCTTTTAGTCTGTCATAACCTTTTTGAAAATATTTCTCAAAATTGCTGGAATACTTTTTTGCCCAATAAGAACTGTATACTAAGTATAACTTAAAAGCTTTCTGATGATTGAAGATCTCATGGCCCCTCTGGGTTTTTATTCTGAACCATCAGTTTTAATTTCAGAAGACATGGCTAAATGAGAATTTATTTAAAGCTAACTCTATTTCTTAAAGTAAAAAATCTCATCATTTCAAGTGATTTTTATTACAAAATATTTCAGATACAAAAAGATATAGAGAATAGCCACAGAACACAACAGATCTTAAAGAATAAATAACGTATATAGTTGAACGCCCCCTTGTACCCTTCCAAATCATATTCCCCTTCCTTTCTCCTAGAAGGAACCGCTATCCTAAATGTGTTGTTTATCATTGTCATGGATATATTTATACTTAACATTATATAGTGTTGCTCTGTAAGTTTAAAAACTTTACATACATATATAACTTTATATATATGTGTGTGCGTATATATATGTATATATATATACATATATATACTTGATATATATATTCTGTAATTGATTTGCCTATATTGGTAAGAGTCATTCATATTGTTACATGAAGCTCCATTTCATACTTTTCAACTGTTGCAATTCAGTCCACTTTATGAAGATATCTTAACATACTGTCTATCCTGTTGATGGACATTAGGTGACTCCTTTTAGGTTACTCAAGGTAATAAGCAGTGCTAACAATTTTTTAAAAGAACTTATGTAAAAACCTCAACTACTTTTTAATTTTTTATTATTTACATTTCTACATCTAAAAGAAATTCAGGGAAGATAGAAAAAAAAGTCCCACTACTGGAAGAGTCTGATTAGTCAGAATTAGAGTAATGAATGATGAATACTGTACTGCCTTGAACAAGAGGACAGGCTGGGAAGGCAAGGGGGGCAGATTTAGTGAGTAAACAGCAGAGCCAGGCACTTGGACACTTCATTCTGAGTCCTGAGTTTTCCTCAAACAGGTTCAACAGGACTGAGAAGCAGGCTGCTCACTGCTGTTTGGGAACAAGATCTGTGTTCAACCCAAAGGGGAGATATGAGCTCTGGAGATGGTATGCTTTAGAGTAGTTCTGAAATTATGAGAATTTGGACAGCTAAAGAATGTAGAAGGAAGCTGGAAGGAAGTGTGTTTACCTAGAAATTCTAAGTACCTGCAAAGAATTTGCCTTACAGAGAATTTCTCTTGCAGGTATAAGTGCTTACCCTGACCCTGGTGACCTTTCTTGAGGTTTAGTCTTGAGCAAGGAATAAACCAATTGATGAAAAACTTGAAAGCACTACTTCATCTAATTCAAAGGTTAAAAGGACTAAAGTTATATTCAACATCAATTCTGAGTCTATGATACTTCATAGAAAAAATGCTTAAAAAGGAATTCATAAAAACCAAGAGAGAACATTATGCTTTGTGGCTAATCGTAATAAAAACCCAGATGAGATGATGACATTTTTCCTGGTAAGAAAACAGGTTTCTGAGTTTCTGGCTCTCCCTAAAACTCCATGGTTTCATATGAAAATATGTTGAGTCAGTTCCTGTGAGGGGCAAGAAGTCTGTAACTAACATCTATTAATGATTGCTTCACTTCCCTGTCATTAACAGACAAAACTTCCTTAACTCTGAGACACTCAAGGAGAAAAGTAAAGGTCAGGCATACTGAAACAGCAGTAACCTTCTCCAAAGCCTGACTTTAATTAGTTTCCTTCCACTACCCTAAGAACCACCGCTCCAAACTCTAACTGATCATATACCATAATCTGATACACAAGCCCTACAATTAGGTTACTCAAGGTAATAAGCAGTGCTAACAATTGGTACTTAATACAACTATTTTCAAAACACTTTAATTAACGTTTAAGTGTTTTGAAAACTAATCCTGAAAAGGATTTAAGTGCTATCTTCTTCTGCAACATCAGGTGACCCAGAAAACCCAAGTTCCAATGATTTCCAGAAAGAAGGGTCTAAAGCTGTATTCATCATTGTGTTCTATTAACAAATCTAGCCTACTGTTTCCTTCCAAGTCTTAAGAGAAAAGGCAAGAAAAGAAAAATTCTTTTGTTACTGGATTTCTTTCAGCTCTTTGAAGGAGCCATATTCTTTCTTGCCTTAGGGGCACATACTCATGCTGTTCCCTCTTTCTAGAAGGCTCTCCTCGGATCCCCTCCTTTTTACCTGACCAATCCCTACACATCCTTCAGTTCCCTGTGAAAACATGAGTATCTCAAAAACTCCCCCTCCACTTTCTCTAACCACACTCATTGGGTCAGGTCTCTCTGTGGAACCTTCCCACAGCTCCTGATATTTCTCCTTTGTAGCGCTCATCACTTAAGTAACAGTTTGTTAACATCACCCCCCCAACAGACCCTAACCTTTTTGGGGACAGTAACTACATTTATCTTATTTACTGCTGAATTCTCAGCACCCAGAAAGGTGCATAATCAATATTTGACAAATGTTTGCTGAATAAATGAAATAGCTCATGCAATAGAAAGTTTGTGATTCTAGAAACAGAATCAGCCATATGTAAAAAAAAAAAAAAAATTAAAAAGCTCTATTCCTTTTGGTTTATATTTTTGTCTCTGTTCCTAGAAAGCAACTCATTTAGAAAAACTGCCTTTTCCCAAATAGTTTTCCTCCCTATGGATTTAATGATTTGAAACCAGCATTTATTCCTTAACACTATCTATCTCCACAATTAATACAAGGATAAGGCAGCCCTTTTCCTTCTTCACTAGTATCAGGGGTTGATCTGATACAATGGGGTCTGCTGGAGTTTTCCCATGGGCAGTACATCAGAACCACAATTAAACTGCAGTCTCAACTGGCCACAAACTATTCTTATGGAATTTGGACAAAGTTTTATGAACTTTATTCTGGGATTGACATTTCTTGAAACTCTTTATTTCTTTTCATCCCACTAACCTCCAAATCTCAGGATGAGGAAAGACAGAAGATATGAGTAGGAAGAAAGGAAAGCTGCTCTCTTTTCTTAAAAATCACTCCCCACATATTTACAGGTTTACACATGTGCTGAGGTGAAATTAATTTCTGAGCACCTACTATGTCAAGACCTGGGCCATTACAAAAAGGCTGACAGATGACACTGTGAGTGCTTTGGCCCGGTCATAGTTGGAAGTTTTCCCTAGGGTATCCCAAAGACTAGTTGTGGAGGTGAATTTAGATGCACCATATATTTCCTTAGTTCCAATTACTTTAATGTATATTAGAATAGTCCATCATACTAATGATTTAGATTGTGTGTGATATAGAGCTTCCTTTAAATGTATTATACAATTTTAAAGCTGGTTTAAGTATATCTGAATAACAGAAAAAATTATTAATGTGGACTCTGCACAGCAGAAGTTTGGGAGCCACTGGTCTAAGGTGCTCTACTATATCTTGCTTGCTTTGTCCTGATTGGGCCTTCCATTAGAATGCTGCTTCTGCTAGCCACCCCACCCCACCAAGTAGACATATTTACTACAAAGCTTTTCTGAAGCACTACTTTCCCTGCTTCTATCATGGCCAGCTATAGCTCTTCTGCAGTTATTTCATTATATATTTTTCTTCCTAGAGGCTCTGAATTCCTGGAGGGCAGGGACTATGTCTTGTTCATTATAGTTATAATATCATTAAGAGTTACATTTGCTGGCTGGGTTCGGTGGCTCAGTCTGTAATCCCAGCACTTTGGGAGGCCAAGGCAAGTGGATTGCCTGAGCCAGCAAGTTTGAGACCAGCCCAGGCACCTTGGCAAGACCTCATCTCTACAATAAATAAATAAATAAATAAGTTGGGTGTGGTAGTGCGCACCTGTAGTTCCGGCTACTTGGAAGGCTGAGGCGGAAGGATTGCTGGAGCCCAGCATATCGACGCTGGAGTGGCTGTGAGTGTGCCACTGCACCCCAGCCTGGGTGACGGAGTGAGACTCCCAACTCAAAAAAAAAAGAGCTACATTTGCTTTGCACTTACTGTGTGCCAGATACTTCACTAGATGCATTACATATATATATTAACTACCATAATCATCACAACAATTCTATAAGGTAGATACCACTATTATCCCCATTTTACAAAGGAGGAGCCTGATGCAAAGACAGATTAAACAACTTGTCCAAGGTCACACAGCTCATAATAGGCAGGGTCAGGATTCAAACCCAGCCAGTCTGGAGTCAGAGTCATGCTTTTAACCACTAAATAGGCCGTTTAATCTTAATCAAAGTTGTCAGATGTCTGTTGATTGCTTTAAAGAGTTTAGTCAGTTGTGACAAAGGGAACTAAATAATTCTATCCTCTTCTTATATAAAGACCAAAAGAAACAATTTTTTCCTGCCTTGATATGAATTACAATAATGTTCTCTTAAGGTTCCCTATTTACCATCTACCTCACCCCTATCCTGCAACTGCCCTTCTTAAATAATTATATTATACACTAACACCCTCAAAACAGGCTGGACACTTGGCTGGGTTGCTCTGCTCTTCTGTTCCCGGTGGCTACCCTATCCCCTCCAACTCCAAAGGGAGCTGACATCATAACAGAGACACCAGGGCACAGACTCACTACGGTGCTACTACCCTGCAGACCCTGCCCTTCCCTCCCAAGGATCCATCCATTCATTCACTCAACATTTACTCAGTGCCCATTCTAAGGTTGCAGGAATAAACAAGCAGTCATGTTGTTTATTCCTGCAAAATCTTATATTTTAGTGGCAGAGTCAGATGATATGTGAGAAAAAAATAAATTTCAGATAGTGATACCTGCTCTGAAGGAATGAAACAATAACATGATACAAATGAGTAGAACTGGAGGCTACTTTAGTTTAGGTGGCTAGTGACATTTGGGCTGAATCCTGAATGCTGTGAAAGAGCCTAATAATGGACAGAACTAAAGGGAGGGTGGTGCAAGAAGAGGGAACAGCAGGGCGAAGGTCCTGAGCTGGGAACCAACTTCATAAGATGAATGTGAAAGCTCCAAGAGGCTTTGGGGAGGAGGCCACAGGTCCACCTAATCCAGCACAGGTTAGGAGCACAGGCCTTGGAAAAGAGTTTGGTTTGTGGCCTAAAAGCAAAAGGAAGACACTGGTAGATTTTAAGCAAGTTGGAGTAACATGACCTGATTTATGTATTTTTAAATGTGTTTGATATAAAAATACTGTATATCATAACTACTTATGATTCCAACACTCTCTTACAGATAGTGAAACAAGAGTCTTGCCTAATGCCCTTAATTAATGAACAGGGGAGTCAGGATCAAGAGCCAAAAAAGCTAGATGATTATTTCCCTGACTGACCATAAGCTTTTCCCTGTTTTTATTTTGGAGTCAGTAATGGGCACTCATAATGGATAGTAATTAATCCAGAAATTTAAAAAAACTCAAACATGTACTTACCCTTCCACTCTCTATCCAGAGTACAGTGAAAGGGTCTGAGGAGGTTCCAAGAGCCTATTCTCTACAAGGCACAGTAGGCCCTTGGTGTGTCCAGATCTAGTTCTACAGGCCTATGGAAAGAGCTGCTAGCACAAGGGCCTCATCTACTTTACCCTTTTTCCCACCTCTGGAACAATTTTCTGCCTTTGGAAAGACCTTTGCACATGAAGTTAGGAGTTTAAGAGCAGAGATGAAAATTCCCTTACCCCAGATGAAATTTATAGAAGTATGACTCTGGTCTCAGGAATGTCAAAATTCCAAATGCTGGACTCTCATGAGGCTTTGCCTAATGAAGAAAAAGCGTTGCAATACAGACAAGAGAAAAGCAAGTGGAATTAACCCTGACTTCAAGTCCCAGGAGGTGAAGGGAAAGACCCCTTTCCTGTCTTTCAGAAAAGACTTCCCTCTAGGTGGAATTTTTTTTTCTTATAATAACTAATGATTAATATAGTCAAGTTTCTCTCCCAAGTACTTTATGATTTTGGGGGGAGGTGGTGGGAGGAGCATTGTGAAATCCACCCAGATGAAATCATGGTTTTATGTGCTCATTGTGCACCAATATTCTGCTGCCCTATCTGCTGACATCTGGGACCCCCTTCTTTTTGCCATATGAAGGCTCTAACGCACACAACTGAAATATCTTTTTTGGGGGGGCCTATCTGCTGCTGCTCATCCTTTGGCTTTCATCACTTCTTACATATTTCTTTCCTTTTCTTTTTTTGGCAATCCTTTGCCTCAGCCTTCCAAGTAGCCGGAACTGCAGGTGCATGTTACCATGCCTGGCTAATTTTTGATTTATTGTAGAGATGAGGTCTTGCCAAGTTGCCTGGACTGGTCACAAACTCACAGGCATAGGCAATCCACTCGCCTCGGCCTCCCAAAGTGCTGGGATTACAGACTGGGCCACCGAACCCAGCCAGCCTTCATCACTTCTTGAGGAATGTCCTTCACACTGAGCCTGGGTCAGTGTCCTTCTATGTGCACTCCTGGCACCTCTAGCTTACCTCTACCAAAATGTTCGCCCTACTTTCTTGTAATTTTGTTTCTTATCTTCTTCCACCGTGTGTGTGCTGTGGGGACCGGTAAAGGAGCGAAAATGTGGGAATACGTCTGGTTTGGGACAATCTCAATCATATTCCCAGACTGGCACATGGCTGGAATAAATTTACACACAGAATGGTCACTAGTAATGTCTGTTCTTATCCTGAGATACACATGGTTGTATTTGGATCAGGTTTCCCAATTACAGACCCTAAAATACTTTAAAATACAAATTAATCCTCACAATGATATTTTCAAGAGCAGTGGGTATCAGGATTAAGAGCTCAAGACTCAGTGTTTTTTGAGGGGGAGGCCTTATCAATTCTATCCAGAGCAACATAAGATACACAGCTATGATAAAATCCTCACTCTTTTTTTTTTTTGAGATAGAGTCTCACTCTGTCACCCAGACTGGAGTGCAGTAGCCGCTCCTGGCCACTGCAGCCTCGACCTGCTGGGTTCCAGCGATCCTTCCGCCTCAGCCTTCCAAGTAGCTGGAACTACAGGCGAGCGCTACCACACCCGGCTAATTTTTGATTTATTGTAGAGATGAGGTCTCGCCAAGTTGCCCAGACGGGTCTTGAACCCACAGGCTCAGGCAATCCACTCACCTCAGCCTCCCAAGGCGCAGGATTACAGGTTGAGCCACCGAGTCCAGCAAAATCCTCACTCTTAAGTTCTTTTAAGGCCAGTTCTGGTTTGTCCACTGGATTGAAATGCTTTGCATGTTTCTGTGAGGCTTAGAATCAAACACAGAAAAAGGAGGTTGACACTTTTTTTTGAAAAACAAGACTTTTGGAAAATAAGGTCCATTGGATCCAATGATTGGGGGTTAAAACCAATCCAGAAAACTGTAATTTAAAGTTTTTGCCATTTGGAATATCTCTAGAGAAATGAAATGCTCTTGATGTCAAAGCAATCAGACCTTCTTGTCCTGGGTAGCAGAGCGGAGAATGCCTGTCTTGGTTTTAGGCATTTAAAGTTTTTCTGCATTTGTAAGGACCAGCAGATATTAAAAAAAAAAAAAAAAAATGAACACATGGTCTTTAGGTGGACAAACCTGGGTTTTAATCTTGATTTCTCCCTACCAGCAAATAATTAGCCTTCCTGAGCCTCAGTTTCTTAAAATGTAAAATGACATACAACACAACCTTTTTCAAAGAGTTGTAGTCAACAAAGGCAAATGTTACCTGAATAGGAGGAAGTGGAGGAACAATGAGGCCTCTTTTATCTATGCTTTGTCTGCAGCAAGAGCAAAGAAATGTGTGGCCTGTTGGCGAATTTATTGCTTTGTGGTAGTAATGGATTTTCCTAAAGCTGTTTCCCTCTGATCATTAATAATCCCTGTACTGCAAAGGGCTATTGTTCTTTGGTATGAGTAAATAATCCTGTTGGAGGCACCGCTTATCTTCAGACTACAGCACATACTTCTTACTGGAAATATAATGCAGGTGCCAACACCAAAGGCATGGCCAGGCTTCCCTTCCTATTTTTCTTCCTTTATCTCTTACTCTGTTTATTCTTCAGTGTACTTTTCTCCTAGATCTGTTATACTCCCTATTTTTTGGTGTATGCCATATCCTATACAGTACCATCTTTACATCAATTGAACAGCCTTTAAGTGAAACTGTGCCCCACACATCTCTGGTCCCCTAACTTCCCCCCATCAATCAGCATGCGCGCACGCACACACACACACCATGGGCTTATTTCCTGTCCTGGATTCAGTTTTTTATTACTAGAATCCAAAAGGGGAAGTATAATGCCACACACTGTTTGCAAATCTCAGGATATGCTTGTGTGGTGTACTTAATCATACCACAGCTATTCTCTGAAACAGCATCTTTTTACACAGAAAGTGACAATATGGTGTGTCATTGATGGGGACAGGGAGGAAAGAGAGGATAGTATTTTTATTTTACCCAAGGAGAAAAAATTAGTTTGGGCCCTATAATAGGGATAATTTTCAGAACACAGGCAAAAACAAAATATTAATGTCTGAAAGACTTCTAACAACTATTCAAAAAACATCATAAGAGGCAAGCACTAAATATATCATACCAGCACTGAAGATTATACTTGTATAGGGAAACTCCAGTTAGGCTACTGTATAACAAAGACATAAAAATCAATATATATGCAGCTATATTTTCCCTCCAGGGATAGAAATTCTAAATGAAAATCAAATTATGATTCCCTCAATTCAAAAGAAATGGAGGTTTGTGTTTCTTTACCAGTATATCTTAAAAGACAAAGACAAGGTAAGGATCAGTCAGAGGTGGTGAGGGTGAAAACCAGTTACCAGAGGCAGAGGTGGTGTTAGATATGGACCCAGGGGCTGGAAACAGAAGGTCAATGCTGAAGATCAGTAGGTCATGCATTCATAACTCCCCAGCCAGGATTTTCGACCCTTCATATCAACTAGAGAAGGCTGAGAACACAAAACACTGATTTGAACTCCTACTTTGTGTATTTTTGTTTTTTCTTTTCTTTTTTTTTTGAGTTGGAGTCTCACTCTGTCGCTCAGACTGGAGTGCAGTGGCCGCTCCCGGCCACCGCAGCCTCCACCTGCTGGGCTCCGGCGATCCTTCCGCCTCAGCCTTCCAAGTAGCCGGAATTACAGGCATGCCCTACCACGCCCGGCTGATTTTTGATTTATTGTAGAGATGAGGTCTCGCTGCCCAGGCAGGTCTCGAACGTGGCTTCAGGCAATCCACTCACCTCAGCCTCCCAAAGGCGTGGGATTACAGGCTGAGCCACCGAGCCCAGCTGTATGTTTGTTTTTTCAGTTAAAAATTTATTTTTAGATTAAAAAAGATTTTTTGAAGCCAGGCATGGTGGCTCACCCTGTAATCCTAGCACTTTGGGAGGGCAAGGCAAGAGGATTGCCTGAGCCCACAGGTTCGAGACCAGCCTAGACAACAAGGCTAAATAAATAAAATAAATAAGATAAATAAAAAAATCAGCTGGGCATGGTGGGGCATGCCTGTAGTTCCAGCTAATTGGAAGGCTGAGGCGGAAGGATCACGTGAGCCCAACAGGTCGAGGCTATGGTGGCTGTGAGCATGCCACTGCACTCCAGCCTGGGCAACAGAGTGAGACTCTGACTCAAAAAAAATTTTTTTTTGAGTTTTGTGGGGTACATGTGGGGATTTGCTACATAAATCGCCTGCAGGTGAGGTTTGAGCTTCTAGTGAGCCCTCTCTCCCAGTTTTGTTTTTGAGTCTAGGTATCCAGCCCAACTGGAACCTTGACCTCCTGGGTCAGGTGCTCCTTCCTCCTCAGTCTTTCTGGGACTACAATTGGCACCACTATGCCTGGCCAATTTTTGATTGGATTAGGGAATTGACCAAAGAGCTTTGAATACAACATTAGATGCAGCTGGGGCTTTCTAGCACCTAACCCTTGTTACAACTATCTGATAAATAACTGCATTCTGTACAAGGGTCCACACCTTCAGAACAGTTTCCAAGTACCCACTACCTACCAAATAGCTATCAAATGAGCAACTTTTCCCATCTGTAGAGGCACCAGAGCGTCTTAACTAGACTAAGCTCTTTGAGTGTTATATATGGGGAATTACTAGCCTCCAGTACCCTCAAGTTTCTCCCGTCTAGCGCTGAACAAAAGAACTTTCTGTGGTGGAAATGTTCTGTCTGCTCTGTCCAATAGGGTAGACATTGGCCATAGGTAGTTATTGGGCACTTGAAATATTGTTAGTGTCCCTGAAGAACTAAATTTTTATTTTACTTAAAATTAAAAAGGGGGCTACATAGTGATAGCACAGCTCCAGACCAAGAATTGCAAATCAGATGCTCACAGGGGTGAGCCAGGTAGTGGAAGGCTCCGGGCAAACAAGTACCAGCCACACACAAGGAGGGAAGCAGCTCTTCTGCTCTTGCTGTCTGTTGCCATGTAGGAACCTCTAGGAACCTCAGGCTGGTGTTGTCAGATTGTCTGACTTTTCAAATGAGGCAGAAAATCTGGGTTTTGATGTCCAATTTTTAAAATGTGGGCAAGTAAATTTAAAAAAGAATTTAAATCACTGTGTGGGCTGAACAATATGTTTGCAGGCAATATGTGTCTTGTCAATTTGCAATTTCGAATCTAGGCCAGCACTCCAGCTCAAATGGAAGAGCTTTATCCAGGGCCACTCTGCTGGTCAGTAGTAGATCGAGGACTGAAACCCAGGCCTTCTGATTCTTCTTCTGATACCCTTTCCGCTATATTAATGAGATTGCCTATCATCATGGTGGCGTTTGCAGCAGTGGCAGGAACAAAAGCTCCGTTGTCAGAAGCTGTTGAATTCCATGGCTGACACCTTATCAACAGTGTTTCTGCCCAGCTACAAACATTGTATGGACAAGGCTCTATTCTAGGACAGAGAATATAAATAAACAATTAACCAAAAAAACCAAGTTTTCTATAATGAACGCAAGTTACCTGTGAACAAATCCAAAAGCACTGAAGGGTGGGAGAGGAAGGGAGGGAAGAGATTTGAGCAGATCTTATGGTAGAAGCTGGCAAGTGGGTGGATGAGTCTTGCTGATTATGAGGGTGGGTCCATCATCCCAGGCCATTAAGGGGGTCTCCTCCTTTTATCCCTAAGGTCTTGTCTGTGTGAAGTCTCCTTTGCTGGCTTCTTCTCTGGGTAAGCTCTAAATGTTAAGAGCCCCAAAGGTTTTTTAGGAGCTTTCCTGTTTTATCTACAACACCCACTTCCAAGGTGATCTGGGGGAGGGGAAACAAAAACAAAGAATAAAAAAAAAAAAAAACCAGGCCAGGCTCGGTGGCTCAGCCTGTAATCCCAGCACCCTGGGATCCCGTGGGTTCAAGACCAGCCCCGGCTGCTTGGCAAGACCTCTTCTCTACAGTAAAATAAAAATAGCTGGGTGTGGTAACCCGCGCCTGTAGTTTCGGCTACTCGGAAGACTGAGGCGGAAGGATCGCTGGGGCCCAGAAGGTCGACGCTGGAGTGACTGTAAGGAGTGAGACTTCAACTCAAAACTCCCCGTAAACCAAAAAAGCCCCAAACCCATATTTATTATCTCTGTGACTTTTCCCAACTTGTGTATCTAACTTCTCGACATCCTCCTTTGAATTGTTACTAGAAAGAATTTATGATATTCTTTTTCAAACTGTTTTTCTTCGGAAGTCATCCTCGGTCTCCCTCACCCACACTTCACATCCAATTTCCTAACAAGTCCTGTAAGCACCCTCTCCCAAATACATTGAATCGAATTCTCTCCAATTCCATGGCCCTTTCAACACTGACGTCACCTCCCTATTCTCCTACTTCCAACAACCTCCTAACAGGTCCGACTACTTCCACCCTTCTCAATCCAGCAGCCAGAGTGATTTTGTAAAAATGTAAATCAGGTCACTTCCCTTCTTGAAAACTTTTGGTAACACAATAGCCAAGCCCTAGCCTTGGGCTAAAAGGCTAGGCTAGATCGGGCGCTGCCACTTCTCCAACTACATCACAGAGCAATCTGTCCCGGGTTTTTTGTTTGTTTGAGCTACATGGCCTTTAGCCTCTTTCCTACCTTAAAACCCTTCCCATCGGCTCTTTTCTTCATCTAGAAAGCTCATTTTCTACCTCCCCTCTTCTTCCGGATCCTTGCCAAACTGTGGCCTGCTTAGAACAGCCTTACCTGATTTTGACTGGCCCTCCCCCCATCTTTTTGTCACTTCATCTGGTCTTTGGGGCATTTCTCACTCGCTGGTACCTTCTTTACTAATTGTTAACTCTCTCTTGCACTCGAATGCAAAGTTACGGAACAAGGCCCTCGTCTCATTCTCAAGTTTGTGGCTCAAGGCCATTATGAAGTGGGCTCTCATCGTCCAAGAAAGTCCCTGTTTTTGTACGGGGCCTCGATTGGTTCGATCTCCCTCCCCAGCCAGACACGCCTTTTATTCGCGGAACTGCCCACACCATCTGCCATTTACATTCAGGAATCTAAAATTTAGACTCAGAAGTCTCCGATGGGCCCCCAACCGGCCCCTCAGCGTCCCCAAACCCAGCCTGCGGGCCACTTCCGTGAGGCGGCTTCCTGAGACCAGTGGCGATGACCCCGAACGGCCCTCGCGAGGCTGGGGTCACACAAGCGCGTCTCCTAGCAACGCCGCACCCCACCCCCCCACCCCCGGCCCCTGGGGAACCAACCCCTTCCCCGCAGTCTCCCGCGCCTGGAGTCGGCGTCTCCATCCCCTACTCTCTCTGCGTCAGTCCTGACATCCCCCACCCACAGAAGCGCCGCTGTCTTTGGCGGGCTGGGAGGAGCCGACGCCAGAAGCTTAGCTGAGTCGTGGCCGACAGAGCACGAGCTGGCCCGGCAGGCCAGGCCGGACCAAACCACCGGGCCCACCTCTATGGGAGCACTAGTTCCAGGTCAGGGTTAGCCTCCAGCCTCCCTAAAACCTCAAATTCTACCCCGCTCTCCGCCGCATCCAACAATATAGCCGACCTCATCTTCTCCCTATTTTCCCTTTACCTTTTCGTTATCCTCCCCCTCCATTCCAGTTAAAGTAAAGGGGAAAATGGCCAGCCCCGCTCCTTCTAGCTCTCCCGCCCCGTTGCTAGGTCTTTGCCCTTACTTGGCGACGGCTTCGTACGTCTTTGCGTACGTCGTGATGCAACTGTTGACTCATCCCCTCCCCGCCCCTCTCCTATTCTCCCTCCTGGAGCCGGCGGCCGGCGGGGTTACCGGAAGTGATGATGCAGGAGGCGATGGAGGGGGCGGGGCTTCGGGGCGGTCGCCGCCGGTGGGCCGCAGATGAAGAGG